CTAGCTTCTTCATCTGCATTATCATCTTCCATTCTTTCTTCATTTTCTTTTTCATACTCTTCCCTCGAATCCTCCACTCTATCATCACGCATTTTCTCTTGAGTCTCTGGCCCAAATATGTTGAAATTTGGTGCACCTAATTCTGCATCCTGCTTTCCAGTACCCACATTGCCTCCTTCTGCACTCTTCTCTTCTTTCTTCTCCACTTCATCCTCTATAGCTTCACCTTTTGTCTCCTGATGTTGTGTCAACTTCTTCAGGTGTGAGAGTATTTTCCCTAGTTTTAAGTGTTGGCTTTTCTGTTCCTTTTTCATTGCTGTCACTTCTGCCACCAACTTGGCATTTGCTTCCATTATTTTCGCATTTTCCTTGCTAATTTTCCTTACCTGCCTCAATATGACTTCAATCTTCTGCTGCTCTCCAAATCCAACCGTCCCTATGTCATCATCATCCATCTCATCTTTTTCTTCGTTCTCTTCTTCCTCACTGTCATCTGTTGTATTCTTTGTTGCAATCACTCTCTCTCCATCCATCCTATCTTCTTTACTAGTATTGCTTTGTCCATTCCTCGATCTTAACCTTCTATTGTTCCCTAACATAGGAAATTTGTTAAGTTCCTCATCAGTAGCTACCATCTTTGACCATTCAAACTGCAACAAAACATGGCATATTAAGAAGTTATATATTTATCTTCGCATACCATATCTGTAATACAAAAATGAAACAACTTACATTCTCATTGGAGAAGATAATCTCACTGAATGCAACCAATGAAGGTTTTTTGGTAAATGACCACTTCACAGCCCTTGGAATTCCTCTTTCTTCACCTTCCTTGATATTGCAAATTTCAGCTTTTTGTAGACCAGGGAAAGTTTCAAATACCCAAAATTGAAGAGCACTTAAACATCCTGTGAGTGTTGCTCGTTTCCCTTTGCACTTCTGCAACCTGTTCACATTTGTTGGCATGTTTTCTACTAAATCCTTCCACAAATCTTCCACCAAGTGCACATACACCGTTGGTAACTCCCGTGCCACCTGATTTGCAAATAATCCATGTGACAATACTTGCAGAAGTGCAAGTTTAACACCATCTTCTCTCTGCGCTTCCGGGTCATTACTGTCATACTTCTGCAAAGCATCAATTACATCTGTTCTTCTTACACTTTCTGCACTTCCAAAATATGTCTTCCAAATATGGCCGCTTAGCTGCTCCTGAACCTGAGGCTTTTCTCCACCAAATTTCAACCCTAACAACAAACATAGGTCTTTCTTACAAAAGCTTATGACGCTGTTTTGAATATGAAATCGAATGAGATCGTTCTCCTTCACTTTGTTCACTGTTTTCACGTAGTTGCATAGCAATCCAAGCTGCAACTGCCCACTAATTGTTTTCATTTCTTCTATCTTCAGTACCCATCCAAAAACTGTGTTGCTAAAAACCTGCAATTCCTCCTCCTTCAGTTTATTCTTTATCCTCTCAATGACCTTGCTTAAATTGCAATAACAATTAATCCTCATGCAATCCAAGTTATTCAGTGCGTTCTTCTTAAATGCTCTTTCAATGACCTGTTAAACCAATTCACAATATCCATCGTATATTTTAAAAGATCTGAACTACTTACAGACCATTATCTCAACCACATATAACTATTTTCACAATACATTATTCTCTACACCATAACATTATTATCTTAAAATTCGTTCACAAATCTTCCACATAATGACTCAACTTCGTCCCATTTACTCCATTTTACATTAACACGTTCACAACTTTCTTCCACGACCAATTTGATTCCAAAATTCACACAATCTATGATATGTACTATTTGTCAATCATTTGTGTGAATGATTTATTCATTCACATATTTCCATTCGTTTGGCAGAAGTAAGTGTTTATTAACCACTTACAATGACCTATTACACCAATTCACAATATCCTATCTCAACGACATATAACTATTTTCACAAATCTTCCACATAATGATTTAACATTGTCCCATTTACTCCATTTTACATTAACACGTACACAAATTTCTTCCACCACCAATTTGATTCCAAAATTCACACAATCTATGATATGTACTATGAGTCTCATGTACTATTTGTCAATCATTTGGCAGAAATGTAAATCATTATTCCAAATCATGTTACTCATTCACATTTTTCCATTCGTTTGGCAGAAGTAAGTGTTTATTAACCACTTATAATGACCTATTACACCAATTCACAATAGAATATCCCATCTCAACCACATATCACTATTTTCACAATACATTATTGAACATTATTCTCTACACCATAGCATTATTATCTCAAAGTTCATTCACAAATCTTCCACATAATGACTCAACTTGGTCCCATTTACTCCATTTTACATTAACACGTACACAATTTTCTTCCACCACCAATTTCATTCCAAAATTCACATAATCTATATATGATATGTACTATTTGTCAATCAGCAGTTTGGCACTGTTTATTATGTGGAAGATTTGTGAATGAACTTTGAGATAATAATGCTATGGTGTAGAGAATAATGTTCAATAATGTATTGTGAAAATAGTGATATTTGTCAATCAGCAGTTTTGTACTATTCCAAAACTTTATTATGAAACTTTCATTCCAAAATTTCATTCGGCAGTCCCGAATTTAACTTCACACTTCAAAACTTTCCTTATTTGGAAAATAATCTACATAAAAAAAGTGTCAAACAGTGCCAAACAGTGTCAAACAGTGCCAAACAGTGTCAAACAGTGTTTAAACAGTGCAAAACAGTGCACTCCACAGTAAAGTCAAATTTATTTTCTTAATCTATGTGAAGTCAAACTAAGAAGTTCATTATGGGACGGAGGGAGTAAAATTTAGAGAATACGTAATACTAGTAGTAGATTTAAGCCTAAATTTTTTCACAACAAACTACACCATATAAAAAAAGACTCATTAGACTAGATTTAAATTGCTCAAATTTGATATCTATAAATATTGAATTCTCAAGTGAAACCATCTTGAGATACATAAATAAAGATGGTGTCTACCATTTAAAAAGAGGAATTTTGATTTTGTAATCTATGTTTTGGACGAAATTGGATTTTATGAAAAAAAAATGAGGTGCAAACTCAAAGATTTTTTTAAAATTGGAGTGTAAAGTTCAATATCACATAAAAAGTGAGGGTATAAAGTCAAAATTCCTCTAAAAAATCCGGAAGTTTTTATTTGGACTGTAATCTATCCCAGACTAGACCATAACAGATCAGACCAGATCAGACTTGAATAATTAAAAAATACAAACAAACTAACCGATTTCCTAATCAAATACGAGTACTACGTATTTAATTATTCCATTTATCCAGAAATGAATGCGACGGTGTTTGAAGTTCCAAGTCAAACATCTTTAGGATATTGCAAAATCGTATCACCTACGAGCCCTACGTATATATTTATACTAGTTATTTACACGCGCGTTGCGCGATTAACTAAATGCCCAATGTATGTTGTGAAATATGGCGTTTTCTACTTATTGTTGTGATTAAGCAACTAAATTATCAAACATCTTCTGACAATCTGCCAACTTATTCCGCTAAGCAAACCTACTGACTGAATTTGTTATTGACAACTCGCTAACATAATCCGTTATCCACTAACAGCTAACCGCTAGATGTCAAACACGACCACAATATTATCTTCTACATATCATATAAATATAAAATCATATAAATATAAAGTAACGTAAGAAAATTTGAAAATGCAAAAATAAATGAAAACATGCATAAAGTGGAAATGATTGTTATTCAACATATTCTTGGTACTACGTACGTAAGGTTGGAATCTTAAAGGTTGGATTTAACGGACGTAAGGGTATAATTATGGGTAATGGTGAATTGCACAATGATTAAAACAAATTGTACAAGTGCATCTTGTTTAAATGTTACACCAACATTTTTATCATTCCTAAAATGCCCTAACTATCATTGGTGCTTATAAGTTTTTAGATATATACATACTATAACTTTATATATGTATAAATTATAAGGAAAATGGAAACAAATTAAATAACCTCATTTTTATCGGTTTTCTGAAATAGTCCCATCTAATTGTAATTTGGAAAGTAGTCTCACCTTTCGAGTGAGGATGTTTTCTTTTCGACTGTTTCCAGTCCCTGACCTGACCAGACTAGACCAGACCAGATCAGACCAGACCAGACCAGACTTGACTTCTGTAGTTATAAAATACACAGAGACCAGACGTTTACCAGACCAGACCAGTTCAGACCAGACCAGACCAGACCAACAAATTTCTATCAAATTAAAAGAAAACATCTTGAATGCTCCGATCTCTCGCTTATCTGTAATTTAATCAATTGATAACATGTGATTCTAGATGTTTTATTGGTAGATTCTATGGTACCCATAAGGTACTGTACCTTTGTCTACATGTACCAATGAGAATGTAGCAGTTGAATTATTTAAATTTAAAATAAAAATGATAAAGTGATGTGGTCCAATCAAATGAATGATAGGTACGGTACCCCATATTTTAGAAAGGTACCGGAGTTGTCACCTATTTTATTTCCTTTTCTTTTCTCAAAACATTAAATCAAACAAATCCAATCATTCACAAATCATCTCAAAACAATCCCATGCACATACCATCTTTCATTTATTGATGATCATAATAATTTTGAACAAACTACAAATTATCTCATTAATTAAAGTTTATGTCTAACCAAGTGAAATTTTACCTACCATGGAATTCTTGAAGCTAAGTATGATATGGAATTTAATTTCTGAAGTATGATCTGATATGTAACTTTAATTTTGAGTTCATATAAAGAAAAAAATGGGAACACCCCTCCTAAATATACGCTGGACGTCACTTATAATATGTTCCAAACAAGCAAAAACGTCTAAAATTTAAAAAAGGATGAAATACTATAACTTTTGCACTTTAAGAACAAGCAAATTTTTGGAAAATAATGGACTTGGTCATCTTTCTCATCTTTGGGAGAAAATTTTTTCCATTAAAGAAAAGTTAGCAATGACCTCTCAACACATATTACCACTTCCTCTATCCATTATTCCTTATCATCTTCTTCATCATCCCGGCGTGAAGCTAAGATTTCCGGTCAGCCCAGAAATGGCCGATAACCGACCGCCATTATCATTATCATCATCATCATATAGAAGTAGAAGCTATGGAAGAGAAGCATTCTTGGTGCCTGCCCTCTTGGCTTTTGCAACCTCAACTTTAATAGCCTTCCATATTGCTTTTACCTCCCAGCTCCACTCCATAATAATCCATCCTAAACAAACGCGCCTCCGCGTCAAGTCCCCGGCCGGAGAGTTTTCCGAGGCCGGTGGACGGCGTAGTATGAACTTCTCGTCTTCTTCGGCGGCTGTGTTGCCGGATTATTCTCCCCGTGTGTCAACGCCGGCGAGTCAACGGTCGCCGGTTGACGGTTCCGGTCGGAGCTTAGGAGCGTTTCCCGCCGCCAGCTCATCCGGTAATAATAAATTAATAATACTCCCTATTGTTATTCTACCAGCCGTCTTGTTTTTTACTAGTATATAGTAGTATTACGTAACTTGTTTGTTAATTAGTTATACTTGTATATACGAAGTATTTCCAAAATTTGATACTCCCTCCATCCATAAATTCCCGAAATGGGACAAAAAAAGTTTGTAAATTCTAAAATAGGGCTGTCATGTTTTTATTCCCAAATAGGAGTAATTACTGCCAAGTTTGGAAAATACTGTCATGTTTGAAGTCTGGTACTGCCAAAACATGGCAGTAATTAATCCTATTCTGGGAATAAAAATATGACACTCCTATTTTGGAATTTACAAACGTTTTTAGTCCTATTTTGGGTAATTTCCCTAAATGTTGTCATACTTTGACTTTTTGAGTCAAACTTATTAAACTTTGAACGCTGATTACTCAAAATTAATACTTGTAATACTTTATCCCTAAAAAATTATTTTATGTGATTCTTTGTGATATGTATTATTCAAATGTCAATTTATTATAGATTTTATAGACATATATTAATAGATAATTACGGTCAAACGTCTACCTAGAAGACCGCAAAAATCAAAGTAGGACAAACATTAGGGACGGAGGTAGTAGTATTTTCCATTTTGTTTTTTAGTAAACCTAAATGAGTCATACTATAGAATAAAATATTTCTTAACTTTGTTCATATTTTACTAAAATTTTGACCATATTTGGATTGAAATGTTTTAATTTTCACTTTTACCGGACAAAACACAAATTTGACCATTAATGTATTTTAGTCCTTATTAGTAATATGAATTTGGATAAAGTTAAAATGAGAGGAATTTAATATTATTTTTCAGAAATTTTAATTTATAATATTAATAAATAAAATAAGATCAATGTAGAACATGTGAATATTATAAAGAAAAAACAAAGTATTATTTTATTACTTGTATATTTTGATGGCCTGGTTTGAACTAGGGCTGAGACTTTGGAACCAAGAACCGGAGAACCGAACCGGACCGAACCGAACCGTTATGACCCGGTTCGGTTCGGTTCCACCATTTATTAGTTATTTTTTAACGGTTTGGTTCCTATTTTTTATTAATGGTTCGGTTCTCGGTTCCTGAAAAAAATATGTACTAGGAACCGTTATATATAATAATTAAAATTATATATATTTCTTATGAGTATATATATTTTAATGTATATTTACTTACTTATTTTTATATTACATTCATTATTTTAGTTTAGTTATTCAACTATTTAAAACTAATATTCACTTCAACCGGTTCTCTTAGGCTTCTTAGGCCTCTCATTAGGTCCAAACTCCAGCGGGTCGAAACTTTGAAGGTCCAAAGTATTTAAAATTATTGTTCTCTTTAACTGTTTAAGCATATTTGTAGCGTAATTTCAAACGTAGAATGTCTTTTTGGCAAAAATTTAGTCATGATTTGTAAGAATTTTTTCAAAGACTAGGAACCGTTAAATGACAAGAACCGAACCGTTAAGAACGGTTCGGTTCCTTATCGGTTCTATAAAATAATTTATAAGAACCGAACCGTTAGTAAAATTTCATATTTTCAAACGGTTCCACATATTTGGCCTAGGAACCGAACCGGTCCCAGGCCTAGTTTGAACTAGTTTATTCTAGTCTAACTTAGTTTCTTTTGTTCTCTGCTCTTATTTAGACGTGGTCTAGCCTAAAGTTCAGAACAGTATACCGTATTATAATTATTTATTCTTGTTTGGTTTAGACTTGTACGAATGATTTACTTGTCTAATTAACTTCATTTAGTTTTTTAAAACCTAAGGGGGTGTTTGAATATTCTTAAAACTGTTTGTGCTCCTTCAGGGAGCAGAAGTAGAAGTTGGAGTGTTTGGGTGAAAGTGTAGAAGTAATTCTGGTCTCTCAACTTCTAAAAAAACTGAGTCTGTTTCTACTTTAAAAAAGAAGCTGGAGGGACCAACTTCCCAATGAGTTCCAAACACCCCTAAATATATAAGGTGTTATGTGACGCAATGACGGTGAAATTAACAAATGCGACCAAGTCCTTAAAATTTGCAGAATGTTTTACTTGAGTGTGCCAAATCAACGTATAATTGTGACCAAGTCCTTAAAAAAGTGAACGGTGCATATGTGGCACGGGAAATAGCTAATTAAAAAGTAACAAATAAAATATTTCTCTCTTATTTCAATGGTCATTGGTCTAATACATTTTCGGTAATTTTTTCTCAACAATGACAAACACAATGTCTAGATGTAGACATTGTGGTTGACATTGTTGAGAAAATCTTACCAAAAAACACATAAGATCGTGAAAAGAATGAAAGAGATCATAAATGTTATACTCCATAAATTTAATCTTTTGTGTTTATCTTTCTCATGCCACAAGTGCACCGTGCACAATATAGCGAGATGCTCTATTACTTTGAGAGTTTAATTTGAACACTAATATACTAGACTATTAATTCATTACCTGAACTCCTGAATTGAAGATCGACTTGATATTTGAATAATACGGAGTACAACGTACTACGTATATACGTAATTATTTAGTTCTATTACTTGGAAGTTTAATTTGAACAATAATATACTATACTATCAATTAATTATAAGTGAAAAAATCAACAATAATTTATAGGTAGATTCTATGGTACCCATAAGGTACCATACTTTTGTCCACATGGACCAATGAGAATGTAGCAGTTAAAAATGAATGATAGGTACGATAACCTATATTTTAGAAAGGTACCGGAGTTGTCACCTAATTTATACGAAGTATAGTACAAGTTTAATCTATAGCTAATAAAAACACGATCAAGTAAGACGTAATATATAGTGCAATTAGTTAAAGTTAAAATATATATATATATATATATATATATATATATATATATATATATATATATATCGCATTTAATATACGGAGTATAACTATTGAAGCATTAAACAAAAACTTTAAGATAATAATAACCGATCGAATTATAATTAACAAATTGAGTACTAAAATACTTACATATATACTAAGTAATTAATGAAATCAACCATTAATTATTGAGATATATCTTAATATCTTAATCTTAATATAATAACAAAAGGTTTCTTGGGACACAAGTTCCCGCCAAAACCTTTGTAGGTCAATTCCGTTGGTAGATCATTCTTCGAAAATTCTGGACAAAGCCTTTCTGACATGAACATTTAATGATGTGTAGCTCGCCACTTTGGGTTTTGCATTTCTCAGTGGATGGTTTGCTTCCGTTTCAATATAATACGTTTCTCAGATCATATTCCAAGGCGAATATAATACGCTTACGTACTCATTTTCACATTGGTGATTTTTCCAATTGCACTTCTCTTTAATTCGTGTAAGACTATCGTGAATTTTCTAGATAAAATTGTTGTAGCTTCAATATTAAATGCTTCGTAGCTTGCAGTTTCCAGCTTTAGGATTCTCAAGATATGTTCTTTTCGTTTATAAGTGCATGTTTTTATTTAAAACTCACCGCCCATTAATTATGTAATTGGCATGGCAGCTGCATTTGAGAGTTCCAAGTTTTTTTTTTACCTTTTTGAATTCCACTTTGTGTATGTGTATATATATATAGCCCTGAGTGTCCAACACAAGTACTGTTATCACAACCAAGTAACATACGTTGAACTCATGTTCGTCCTACAAAATTAGATTTGTGAGAGAATGCATGCAATTTTTTTTATGGGTTTCTTATGGACCAATAATGTTTTCTAGGGAATAACGGACATATGTTACAAAATCTGATTTGTTGCAATCACTCAATTAGTAAAATTTTGTTACTTTCTGAATTGATTAGATCAATTACGTTGGTCGGTTTGAGTTTGAGTATAATGCACAGTCCTTTTTATTAGTTGGAGGAACACTTCTATGTACTCTATCTTTCCCTTAGAAGGTTCTTTAATTAAGTGTCCATTTAAAGGTTTTCATTCCATTTTAGGAAATAATTTGTTTTCTTTACTTATACTTTTACTCAAATTTTTCTTTTTTACTCATTAAATGTCGAGTATCACAATTCCGGCTAATTTATCTACTTCTTTTAATTACTTTCATCTTATATGTTTAATTTACAATTATAGATTTTAATTTTCTAAAGTGTCATGGTAATATGGTATACTCCGTATTACATTTTTACATTTACAACTACATACTCTTTCAAAATATGTAAATTGTTTCATGTTATCTTATGTTAAATAACACGATTTTGTTTGTTGTCCATGAAATGTTCATTGTAAAAGTTTTGATGTATCATTTTGGATTTTGGTATTTTTGTTTTAATTAATACAAGGTTCTTTATTTCGACCGTGCATCGCACGGGTGTGAATACTAGTTATCCAAAATAGGACTAAAAAGGTTTGAAAATTCCAAAATAGGACTGTCATGTTTTTATTCTCAAAATAGGACTAATTACTGTCATGTTTTGGCAGTACCAGACTTCAAACATGGCAATATTTTCCAAACATGACAGTAATTACTCCTATTTTGGGAATAAAAAACTTGGGAGTCCTATTTTGGAATTTTCAAACCGTTTTAGTCCTATTTCGGGAACTTTCCCTTAATTATTTTTGTAAAACTTGGAATTTTAATACAATTAAAAGAACATTGGTAGTTTAATTTCATTTTCCTCTTAACGATCGAGCTAGAAACCTAGCTATATGTGGGAAAGAAGTGCTTATGGTTTTTATATCACAAACACACTTGATCGCATTCCCATTTGTTTTTTTTATATTGTAGCCTTTGAAGGCCGTGTTAGTATGTATTTGCTTATTCAATTCACGTTTTGGTGTGTATCCGTATCCTTGCTTCATGTATAGTTCTTTTTTCCTACACTTTATACTTTCTTCATTTTTTTTCATCTTTTTACTAATTTTGTTTATCTGGTGGTCCTAATTTAAGTCCCAACAAGGCATGTCATTTTTCCTTCAAGAAAGCAAATTAAATTTGTGGCCTATATATATGGTAAGCTGTGAACGTGAGATTTACATAGAAGATGACGAATTAAGATACATTTTGA